TTTTTTAAAAAAGAAATCAAATGTGAAAGGTCAGTTCAGCCTTTTTTTAAAAAATCTTTTGTTTTTGTTTCTTCCTCTAACGTGGAACACAAAATCGGCATGTCAACTGCCAGTTACTGGAGTCCATTCAGTGTTACTGCTAGGGTTCCCATACTTGACTTGACTCTTCATGCCTCGTGGTCTTCTGTGTCATCTCTGCCCACTGAGGAGACTTGAAGGTTGTCTTGGAGGATGGAGGACTCTGTCACGTTCCCTGCTCAGACCTCTTCTCTACCTCATTTCCATTCACTCCTGGCCCAGGTCATTTCATTGAGTCTCATGTATTTAAACGCCACCTACATGCCAATGACCCCCCAGTTTACATCTTCAGACAGGTCCTGTATTACATACCTATATATTCATTTGCCCATTAGATGTTTCCACTTAACAAGTCTGCAAAAATCTCCTCAATTTTCCCCTCAAACCTGTTCCTCCCACAGACAGCTCCATCCTTTCAGTTGCTGAGGTCAAAAACCTGGGTTCATCCTGAAGTTCACCTCTTACTCCCCAGATGTAATCCATCAGCAATTCCTGTTGGCTCTATCTTCAAATTAGATCCAGAATCTAACCACCCCCTCCATCTGTACCTTGGACCAATCTGCCATCATTTTTAATCTAGATTCTTTGAATACCATCCTACCTGGTCTCACTTTGCCACTCCCCTCCAACAGTTTACTTCCAACTAGGCAGCCAAGTAAACTTTCTACTATATAAGTCAGATCCTATCACACCTCTGCTTACAACTGTCCCACAGTTCTCCATCTCACTCAGAATAAAAGCCGAAGCCTACACAGCCTTCCTGGACGGGCCCCCTCAGCCCACTCTTTCCATCACCACGTACCTTGCTCTCTGCAGTTCCTCCAGCCCACAGAGCGCCCTCCAGCCTCAGAGCTTTGCACCCCCCGCTCTCCCCACTCTCCTCCCCAGTACGCACCTGGTTCAGCCTTCTCCTCCTTCAGGTCTTGGCTGCATGTCTGCGTACCAGTGATGCCCACCCAGACCGCCCCCAGCACTCCCTGTGCCTCTTCCCTGCTATATATTTTTCTCTATAGTACTTATCACCTTTGGACATATTATACATTTTATTGTTTTTACTTGCTTACTGTTTGTCTTGCCCGTGAGAAGTAAGCTACCTGAAGGGTGGGATTTTTTTTGTTTTTTGTTTCAAAATCAGCTTTAGTCCATGGTATATTCACCAATACCTCGGACAGTGCCTGGCACATGGTGGGCCCTCAAAAATATTTATTGCATGAATAAGTGTTGAACAAAAGTTTCTCATCTGTTTCAGGACCAGCCTGACTTCTAAGCCGTAGGCAAGTTGAGATTTGTGATACTGCTAGTGAAGGATGCTTTTCCAAGGGAAAAAAAATATCTCTCCTTAGAGAGTTTTGAAGCTAGGGGTTTATACTAAGGTGGAAGACTGAGGCAATTATGGAATGTGTCATCTGCTATATAATATATGCTATGAATACAGACATTGGGGCTTTTTCTATTGGTCATTACCTGCCTCTTGCCTGTCCTCATTCTATACACACATTGGGATGCTTTGGAAAAAGGGTGTCAGGATTAAATATAGTCCGTAGAACAGAATTTTCCCCAACAGACATCCACACGGGCTAAACAAGGATCAATTCTCTATTTGCTCTTTGATAGAATTTTCTAGACCAAACTTCAGCTAGAATTTTAAAGGTGGAGGGAAGGACCAGTCCAGTCTTTCTAACATTTCTGTATAAAGTACTTAGAAAGTTCAAGCAAAAACCTTTTTTTTTGTTGTTTTTTTGTTTTTGCGGTACGCGGGCCTCTTACTGTTGTGGCTTCTCCCATTGCGGAGCACAGGCTCCGGACGCGCAGGCCTAGTGGCCATGGCTCACGGGCCCAGCCGCTCTGCGGCATGTGGGATCTTCCCGGACCGGGGCACGAACCCGTGTCCCCTGCATCGGCAGGCGGACTCTCAACCACTGCGCCACCAGGGAAGCCCTCAAGCAAAAACCTTTTTTAACCAAATTCTCCCGATAAACGAATCCATCTCCCACTTTACTAAAACTTGCTGAGGGAACTAATGCAAGTCTTCTGTTAAAAGTCTCAGAGAAAAATAAATTAGAAGAGAGTTGGAGCTTCGAATTAAAAAGGAATAGTTATCTGAATGTGGAGCGAAAGGGAGGAAGAAGACAAAACTTAATGATGACAAGGTATGCGTTGAAAAAAGAACTTGTATTCCTACATTTCAAGCAGGGAACAAACAAATGAAGTAGGAGCTGGGGGTAGCAGTGTGCCAGGGATGTTCGGAGCTGGAGCAATGTGGTCAAAGGGATGTGTAAAAGTATGTTGGCAGGGGCTTCCCTGGTGGCGCAGTGGTTGAGAGTCCACCTGCTGATGCAGGCGACACGGGTTCGTGCCCCGATCCGGGAAGATCCCACATGCCGCGGAGTGGCTGGGCCCGTGAGCCATGGCCGCTGAGCCTGCGCATCCGGAGCCTGTGCTCCGCAATGGGAGAGGCCACAACAGTGAGAGGCCCGTGTGCCCCACAAAAAAAAAAAAAAAAAAAAAGTATGTTGGCAGATTGGAGAGCATCTCCTACTCCTCATTTCCCCATCCTGTGGCTTCCAAGGAAATGCTAGTGCAGAAGCCACCAACACAGCCCATTTGGCCACTGGATGAGTCATCCTGAATTAGGCCTCAAGAATGTGTAGTCATGGTCACCGAGGCTGGATATGGCCCTCTAGTTTGAACGAGGCAATGGAAGAGGATACCTCAACAGTCTGAAACGCTGTCCAACTTCTACTGTGTGCAAGTGAAGTTGGGGTGTGAGACACTGGTCTCCTGAGGGGCCCACCCCAAAACCATGGGGGGAAGCTCGCTGCAGGGTCCCCCACCCACATACCCATCTCAAAGTCATCACATGACTAGTGTTGCTAAGAGCAACATGTGAAAGAGAAAGAGACTGTTTCTACAGTGACAATAGTCCTCAACTTTGCTTGCCTAATTATTTTAATTTTTAACATTTAATTATTTGTACTCAACCCACAAAGAATCCAAAGCAACTCACACACACAAAAAATGTATAGCATGAAAATGTTTTTTTAAATTAAAAATCGGGACCAGAGGAAATATAAACTGGAACTGAAAATCTAGTCCGTGGGGGGAGTAAAATGCTCATTACAGTGTTCTAAAAAGTTCTCAAAGTTAAGCCGTCAACTCGGCTTCACGTTAACAAGCAGTCAAAGCAAAAAGAGAAACAGAACTGGTTACAGGATTCTCATGTCCACGAGGAGAAAATATTTCAGTTCCTCAGGGGAAGCAAACTATTTCCTGGAATTCAGATCCGCAAGAATTTCCTCCCATGGGGCTTCATATAGGAGATCATGAGTGCTATGCAAAGGAGAAGATCTAAATCCGCCCCCCTACCATGGGCTTCCTAAAGCTGTTAAATCTTGGAAAAGGTCTTTGGGAAAATTAAGGGTATACACTTCGATTAAAACCCTTCTATCAGAAATGAAGACGATACAGACCAAGTACACACCTTTCTTATAGTTTGGAAGAAGCCAACCTTGACTATCTCAAGGAATGAATGAACTTAATCCCTCAGTCATCTACATATGCCACGTCCATCAGCAAAGCTAAATTTATTACTCAACCAGAGGAAATTTACTAGACTTTTTGGTTCCTCGGTCCCTTGCTATTTTTATGTTTTTTAAAAAATCTATTTCTATTGCAATGAAATATAGAAAGCATGCCTTCTTTTTTATTTAGTTAAAAATATCAAGTGCTCAGAACAGTGTCTGGCAGATAAGTGCTAAATAAGTGTTTGCTTTGAAAAAGAAAAAAGGCGCTTCACTGGGAGGGTGTAGGGGCGTGTCAAGTATGAATGACTAATTATAAATCAAATGAGTTGACTGAGATTTTAAACCCCTCTTGTAACCTATTTTCAGGATTTTTCCTAAAGCAGTACAGATTGAATGGCTATTTTGATGTGAGAATGTGACATGAAAAATCTGGTGGAGGGGGATTATTATAATTTCCCATAGAGGAGGATTCAAAGGTTTTGAAACACTTAGAGAAATATCAGAACCTTTTAAAATTTCTTCTCCGGATGGAACAGCTGGAAGTTCAGAATCCATTATGATGTAGCCGGCACTTCCTTTCAACCAACTTTCACAGTCTAAGTCTCTGTTCATGGGATGTATCTAATTTGTTGTTTAGTACATTGTGGGCATTCAATAATGGTCTATCAAAAAAGTTTAAAAACACCAAAAAGCTTCATTATCATATTTAGTTGTGACTCTATTTCTTTTCCTTAATCTGGTAAAGTGATTTTTAAATCACTTTACACAACATTACAATAAAAACCGACTATATTCTGGAGGGATTCGTAAAGTGACTTTTCTACATTTGTAAGGACAAATAATCCACACTTATAGTGAACCTATTTGTTCCAACAACAACAGATGTTCAATAATATGACCAGGAAGGAATTATGAATGTGGTGGAGAGATACCGGGAAGATTATGCAAATCAGACAGTTACAACCTGGGCCGAAACCAGATGAAATCCTCTCTCCTACTGCTACAATCCTTCGCTTGTCATCTTACCCCTTGACCCTTGTCTTTTGCACTCACCACCCAGGTAAAGCTTGCTATTATTTAGCACAGTAAAACAACAAATTTTAAATAGAACAATTCTGTGAGTTTTTCTGACTCAGGTCAAGAATCAGGTAACTTTATTTTGGCTTCAATTTCATATTTCAGATAATCTGCTTTTCCCATGATTTTTCTAGCCTTGGATTCTACCACAACCAGGGATTCATCCATTTTCAAAAAAAAACCATCAAACACTTGCAAACGGATAAATGCTGTTTTAGAGCATTATCAGCACAGTCTGCGGTGCCACCTAGTTCCCATGCAGATGTTTCTAGCAGGTGCTAGAGGAGACACCTGTCCAGGTGTCCGTCCAAGCAAACCTACCCGCTTGCTGCTCTCTTCCTCTTGAGCCTTCCTGAACTCATGCTCGAGGGAGCAGTCCAGCTCATTGAAGAGCCCCACCTCCTCGCAGTTCTTCAGGAATCTCGTTGGGGTTGGAGTCTGATCTGAAAACAGAGACCGAGTGATCATAAATGGGACCTTTTCCTCAAAAGTCAGTGGCAAGTATGAGCTAATAAATTCACTAATCCCCTCCCCTCGCCTTAATGACGATGCCGAGTGGCCACCCATAATCTTCCAGCCCTTTAAATAAAATGAGAATATGGAAGAAAATAAAACCATAAAGCCCAGAGGAGCAATACGATGTGTAGAAGGCTGTGGCATGGGAGGGCTTCCTAAGCCTCCCTCTGGTCGACTTCAGGCGAGGAGATCCCACAGTTGACTTTCTGGAGTTCATATTGTTTGAATACACATTGCAAGGTGTGGAATAACTCTCTTTTAACTGGAAAACATGATTTAGCTAAAATAAGGCCAAAAATATCTACAGAGTCCATGTTAAGCCTGCTTTTAGGGGGCTGGGAGGACAAAAAATTATAAATGTTTATATCAAACAAAAAGAGAGAAACAAGCATTCAATTCGTTTTTCTTAATGGAGAATAAAAATTTAGCAATTCTTTCTCTCATTTTCGGAATCACAGAAGGATGATGAAAGCTTCCAAGTCAAACACATTCAGCTTCCATCCCTTAAAAATATAATTATTAATTTTATTTTCCTTTTGCTGTAGCCAAAAGAATGTTTTGAGAAGACTCTCTAAAAGGAATAGAATTTCTTTCATATTCTTGATGGTCTGGAGAGCTTACTACTTAAAAACTGGAGGATCTGAAACCACTATTTGTGGCTTAATATTTATGCAGTATTTGCAGTTTATAAAATATTTTCTCACACATTCTCTAGAATCTAGATCTCACAAGATCCTATAAGGTAAGCAGAGTAGAATCACACCTTTGTAATTATTAAGGACAGTCATCTTCCTTGTAAAGGTGCACTCGAGTGGACATGAATAAAACTGTGTAAACTGCCTTTTTCACAGAAACACAAGATAAAAGAACCAGAGAGGACCACTTCCCAGTGGGGAAGTCTGGCCACACCAATTATTTTACAAGCGAAGAAAATGGAAGGCCTGAGTGATTAAGGGTCTTGTCCAAGGTCTCCCAGGTAGATGTGGCAACACTAGGATTATAACCAAGGGCTTGGTGCTATTTCCATTATATATATACATGCATTATTCCCACCTGAGCCTGTGGCAGACACTGCTAGATTGATTATGGCCCTTGTCCAGCTTGACCTACACTCAGTCTCAAATCTCTTCCTGCACAGTCCTCTAAGCCATCACCACCAGTCAAATGAAGAATGCCCTCAAGTTGATATGAATTTGCAATTTCTGCACTCTCTTTAGGAATTCCTATACGGCAAGAAATTAGAATCCTATTTACTTTTCTAAGTCATAAAAAGAGTAATTAATCCCAGTAAATTATCTACTGAGATTCAAAGAATATCTTAACACCCATGAAGCTGAAATGGCTTGATATCTCCACTTAATCAGCCCTTCCAAGGCAATGTCTCCCGATACCCTATGGGCACAGAGCTTTACTGCCTGAGAAGTAACCGAATGGCTGATCTGGATTCCAATCAACAAAATACCCATCTGCATTCTTTCCCATTCTTAGCCCAATCTCCAAGCTTCTGAGCTCTCTTTGCAGTACATAGAGAGCCTACAACAGACGATCATAAATTGGACATTATAGATAAAAGACATGCAAAGGATTGGGTTTCACTGAAAATAGTTTTATTAAAAAATTAATTTATTTATTAAGATACACATATATGCCTAAGTATCCAATATATACCTATAGCAGTTATGTGTTGTGGCTTATAAAATATAAAATTAGTATTTATGTAGCATTTTGCAGTTTACATTTTTACCCACATCGTCTAGAATCTATTAATAGATCTCACAAGAGCCTATGTGGTAAGCAGGGTGCATATTATTTTAGGACAGGAGAAATAAGTTAAGTACCTTGCACAGGGTCACACAATTTGTAACCATCTTATCACTATTAAGTCCTCTCTTACTTTCGGACATAATCCCTTCTCAATCTAAATCCCATGCTTTGCCTAGACTCTCCTGCCAGGTCCAAAGGTCTTTGGTGCATGTGTAAAAGACAACACTGACAACCCAGAAATCCAGATTAGAAAATCATGTGGTTTTGGGGAAATTACTTACATTCTCTGGACTTCAAGTTCATCATCTTTCAAATAAAGTTCTAAAGTTACATGATTCTGTGAATCCTAAAATCACCACCACAACTAGGTTCGCTTCAGAAGTCAGTTAGGGGGCTTCCCTGGTGGCGCAGTGGTTGAGAGTCCGCCTGTCGATGCAGGGGACACGGGTTCGTGCCCCGGTCCGGGAAGATCCCACATGCCGCGGAGCAGCTAAGCCCGTGAGCCATGGCCGCTGAGCCTGCGCGTCCGGAGCCTGTGCTCCACAATAGGAGAGGCCACAACAGTGAGAGTCCCGCGTACCGCAAAAGTCACTGTTAGTAGGTCAAAGAAAATATGACCACATAAAGGATAGTTGAACAGGAACATCAGTAACAACTGGTTAGACACTGGAAATTAGGCCAGAGGTAAGGGCTAGATATATAGATAAAGGAGATTTATGAATAGAAGGTGTAAATAGACGAAACGTGAGAGTGGAAATATAAGGGTGTGGTGTGGTGTGTGTGTTAAGGGTGTGGTGTGTGTGTGTGTGTGTGTTAAGGGTGTATGTGTGTGTGTGTGTTAAGGGTGTGGTGTGGTGTGTGTGTGTGTTAAGGGTGGGGTGTGTGTGTGTGTGTTAAGGGTGGTGTGTGTGTGTTAAGGGTGTGTGTGTGTGTGTTAAGGGTGTATGTGTGTGTGTGTTAAGGGTGTATGTGCGTGTGTGTTAAGGGTGTATGTGCGTGTGTGTGTGTGTTAAGGGTGGTGTGTGTGTGTGTGTGTAAGGGTGGTGTGTGTGTGTGTTAAGGGTGTATGTGTGTGTGTGTTAAGGGTGTATGTGCGTGTGTGTGTGCGTGTGTATACGTTTACTGGATGCTTAGTCTGTGCCAGGCATAGTGCTAAGTGCTTTGTATGCATCATCTCATTAATTTTCACATCAACCACATTAGGTAAAAATTATTTCCTCCATTTTACTTATGAGGAAACTGAAAGTCGCCTTTGGCCCCATTTAGTAATGGAGTTGCTTAATTGTATAAGTAATTGACATTCCTAACAATCCTTGGTTCTTCTGAAATATCTTGGAACCATTTATATCCCTCACACAATAGAACTGCATTACAAGCCTACAGACTGACTCTTCACTATCTGAGAGGAACATTTCTGTGACTAAAAAACCTGAGAAAGTATCACATGACAGAACTGAAATAGGAGACCACTTGTCATCAATGGGAATTCAGTTTGCCAGGTTTTAATTTTCCTTTTATTCCTCTATGCTCCTTTGTTGGAGATTTACAAGTTGAGGACCATGATTCCAGGTAGAGAGAATAGCAATCCTAGAGGCTCCATGAGACTCCTGAACTCTGAGACATGTTCATGAGATGCTCCATGGAATTGAATTCAGGTTGGCATTTGGGGGCCCAAGCCCCAAGCAAAGTTGAGAGATGTTTTCTGTCTCCTCTAACGCAAAATTATTCCCAGATACCGGCATGCACCTACATACATCAGCAAAGGGAGGCTGAAGGAGCATGGTACAGGACAGTAATGGCACCGTCCATCATGCTGAGCCTCTCTGCAGCAATAGGGAAACGAAGCTATGGAACAAGGGGAGCTATGGGCAGTAAAGACAGCTGGTTCCCGCCTATCCCCAGAGACAAAGACTCAGAGGAAGGCCCCAGAGTTGTTACCAAACGTGACTTTCTTTGCCGTATGATAAGAGTGAGGGAAAAGCAAAACTGTAATCTGTATCCACATTTGGAATAGATAAGGCACACTGCTCCTAATATTTAATTCATTTTCTTCTTGTGAATGAGCTATTCTTTCCAGTTACAACAGGAACCAGAAAATGGAGCTTAACTTTTGTTTTAACATTTATTAGAATTAATACAGGGTCTCTAGTCATCTTTGATCCCACATGGTACCAGTTCCAAGTAAGCCAGGAAATGTGCAAATCTTCAAAAGGGGGACAGCTAAATCTATCAGCTGCTTAAATAGAAGAGGCAGAGCTTCTCAGCCACATGAATGCCTTGTCAAATAACTACTCCAGCTGAAATTAGACCCGAAGTAAGTGGGTCATATCCATGGTCGTAAGTTAAAATTCTTGTAATCTACACCTTATTTAGAACCAAGAGCATGCACCAGTTAGCTACAGCAGCAGCAATTTCTATGCCCTGAATAACAGTGACCGATGCTCTACTAGGGGATAATATCTAAGGTGTGTTCCGCAGTGACAGGCCACACTCCAAGGTCTTACAGGAACTGGTTCCAGTGGGAACTCAGAGCTGAGATGACTGTTTAAGGACTTATGCTCCCCTTTCTTTTAGTGCTTCCACTCCAGTGAGGTCCATCTGAATGAGAGAAGATAACCCCAAATCTCAAACTAAACAAAAAGTTAATAGCTTTTGAGTTTGAACTTTACCTGAGTTGAAAGTATTTTGTTGTTACCTTTGTAAATCTGCACTGGTGCTGCAGAAATGCCTGCATGCTACCTTCTCACAGTCTACAAAGAGCACACCAGGTTCTCAGGAGACCTAGACACCCAGGGCCAGTGCAAGTGAGAAATCTTACCCTCCTGTACTCCTCTCAAGCGTCGTTGGGGATTTCTTTACCAATCGGACATGAAAGATTTGCACCAAAAGGGATAAATACCTTTTGAAAAGTTGGTCATATTTCAACATCTGGTTCCCTTCCTGGAATGATGAGTCTGTTTCTTGAAAACAGGAGCATCTTTTCATAAAATCACTGCCTCTGTAAATAGCTAGGTAGAGGACATTTGCCATGCAGAGGCACTACTTGCATATCTGCCCGGAAGAGTGCCACAAACTTGGCATTATGAGTTAGGCATTCACCCATCACTTCTATGATAGGAAATCCTGTATCACATTACATCTGGGAAGGACCACAAGTATATGG